ATAACATTTTCTGCTGTAGTGTTTTTTTTTTTTTTTTTTTTTTTTTTTTTGTCAAGTTGACTCTATATAACATATGTGGTAAATATAGAAATACTGGTACATCAGTTACTGCCTTTTGCTTAAATGATGATTAATGAAATGTATTTTAACTGCAAAAGTGTATTAATAATTGTAAGTTTTGAAATAAAGGTAGATATATGATGATTCTTGCGTTTAAAAAGGGCTGTGTAACTCCCCAGATTATGATGCAACCTATCTGCGAGTCAACAGTAAATCCTCTATTATTAAGCCATAAAGTAGGAGTGTGACCTATCTGGTGGGGTGATCTATCCGCGAGTATATACAGTACCTAGTATCTAACTAATAGCTATTTACTTAATTTTAATAGCCATTCAATTTTTCAAAGGTAGTTTTGAAAAGTTCAGTGACAGTTGTGTAGGACTGAAACTTGGTTCTATCAATAGAATCTTGGAAAGAAACATTATGGAACATATAGTTGCTATTCAATTAGCCTCATAGTTAATTTTAAAACTAGACTTTTTTTTTTTTTTAAATACCTGTGTTTGAGTTGAAAAGAGGCTAGTTAGACAATTGAAATAAAAGCACTTATTTCAAAATAAAGTAGATAACAATTTTGATGCCTCATTAAATAATTGCACAAATTTGGGTTAGTTCTAAATAGCTTCCCACTCAGAAGATGGGATTTCTTGTTACTTGGTTTCCATCTTGTTTGGTCACTAGAAGATGGTTCACTGTTCTGACAAACCACTTCTATTTTTAAGGATGATTTAATAAAACTGCAGTGTCAGGTTTGGTAGATGTTAAATACAGCAGTTGCAAAATATTACTGTATTCCTTAGTGTCTTGTATTTTGGAAGCATGTTTACAGAACATTTTATATTGTATTCACATATTCAACAATGTAACAAGTAGGTCTCTTGCTGCCTTCATACAAATTTCCTTTGACTGGCCAGAATGTCCTAATTTCTCTTGATTCAGCCATTTTGAAACTGCTTCTTGAAAATAATTCATAAAATTTTTATTAATGAGGCATACATCTGAAGGTTGCTTAAATCATGTTATTTTGTTTAATAACTGATAGGACGACATAACTCAACCAGTAAAGGAGTGGGAGAATTTTTTTTTCTCTTTCCCTAGTATATTTGCTGAAACTTTTCCTTCAGTCATACAGTTGATTTTATGTATCTTTTTAAACACGATTAAATAAAAATTTTTTAATTAAAAAAATTTTTTTTTTTTTTTTTTTTTAAGTTAAAATGTCATTTAAATATCCATGTTTGCTATGACCAGTCTGTTATTGCACTAACAAAATCTCTTACCTAAATAAAATATAACCATATATATTTGGTTTTATTGAACTGCTGTGTAATTATGTAAACTCACTGACTTAAATATTTAATTGAATCAGATTTAGCCTTTTTAACAAGGAAATGTGGTCCAGTATCTTGCTATTGTCTCATGACCATAAACTATAAAACTTAAAAAATAAAAAAAAAATTGATAATTCTTATCCCATAAAATAAAATCTCTACTTTTTTTTTTTTTTTTTTTTTTTTTTTAAAACTGCATATTAGTTACAAGATGTGACTTTTTTTGTATATAGTCATTTAAATTTTATTCAGATTGTTTATTCAACTATGGTGAGTGGTGAAAAGTTCTTACTCTAATCTACTTCCAAAATATAATGATCAACAGCTCAAACATCAGTGTGTGTGTGAGAGATTTTGATTTTTTTTTTTTTTTAGTACTCCCTGGTGTAATTACTCTAATGATAAGTTCACTAAGTTCAGATTGAGTTCATATCTGCTGTGAACTTAAATCTTCAGTTCTAATGTTCTTTTCATCAGGTTCATTGAATTTTTTTGTCACAAGCCTACTCATCATTGTATACTCATTCATAGTATTTTTTCTATACCATACTAGACTATTTCTTAAACATTATGAGCAAAATGTATGGTATTAGGCATTTTACAATTTCTTTGGCTTGTAAAATCTGCTCGTTTATCAATGAATCAATGATTGAAATTAATTTCCTTCTAATTTTTCACAAAAATGTAAGCATTGTATTATATCTAAATAGGCTTCAAAGTTTGCAAAAGTAATTTCATTTTTTGTTGCAATTATAAAAAAAAATTTGCTTGGGAGCAAGACTGTCAAAAGATGGCATCTGCAATGCAGAAAGCTGCACAAGGGTTGTCACAGCGGCAATGACAAGACTGGAAAGGATATGGAAAAGCAACATCAGCTTCCATACCAAGTTCCAGCTTTTACAAATTGCTGGTCATACCCATCCTCTACAGGTGTGAGAGGAAAAAGAAACAAATCCTGGTTGAGGCAAAAAAAGAATCCAGACGTTCATGAACAAATGCTTAAGAAAGCTCCTCTGCATCTCCTACTGGGAGCACAAAACCAATGACTATAGAGCAAGGTCAAAAATATTTTGGGCCAACAGGAATCTCTTCTTACCACTATTAAGCATTGGAAGATGTCCTGGCTTGGTCATATCACCTGGCATAACAGCCTCTGCAAGACCATCATGCAAGGCACTGTTGAAGGTGGGCACAAATGGGGATGGCAGCACAAAAGCTGATCAAACAACATTAAAGAATAGATGAACATGGCAATGCTGGAATGCTGCCAACAGATCATCTTGTGAGAAGGTTGTCTGTTTCTTCTGCCGTTAACCCCCCACCCAAACAATTGAAGCAGTCAAGGGGCTGATAGCACACTTTTATATTCTAACCAACAAAATTAAAGTAGCTTTTGTAAAAAAAATTGTGCATCTTTAAGTAGGTAGTAGTAATAGATTAATATAGTATGTGTATTGCAGTAACTTGTATCTTTTAAAAAAGACTTTAATTATCTTCAATTAGTAGTCACTATGTAAATTCCAATAAATTATCAATGTTCATCAGAAAACCTTTCATATAGTGTTTGTGTGCAAATAATTGGCCTAAAAATAAATAACATTGCATTGGAAGTGGTTTTTTTTCTCCTTATGTTAGCTTTTAATTTTCTGATAAAGAGAGCATTTTTATATCATTTTAGACAACTTCTACTTCTAGGTATTTCATCATTATAAGTACATACTTAATGATATTGCCAAAGATGGGACTATTTTCCAAATTCTCTAACTCCCATTACTTAATTTAATTCTTTTTTTTTTTTTTTTTTTTTTTGTATTCTAATTTACAAGTATATAAAATTATTTTATGACAAATAAGCTTAAATTTTGGTTATAATAATAATAATAATAAAAAAAGAAAAAATATGTTTTTGTGAGCAGTTTGAAGTTTTGGCCTTTTTTTTTTTTTTCTTCCACTTAGCTTTCTGGCAATTTCCAGTATTTTAATTTTTGCATATCAAATTAAAAGATCATCCAGAAACTTGCCAAGAAAAAAAATATTCTGTGGCTTTGTTAGAATTTCATATAATTGGTTAGAAACATAGAATGCTTCTTCTTTTTTTTTTCCCCTATTCTGCTATTCGATTTCTTCAAAGTATAGTTCTAACAATTTTATATTTTTCTCAGTTTGTTGATTAAATGTAAAGGCTAGAATATATATTTAGTCTGTTCTTAAGAGTGTATGTGATAAGAAATTTGGGAAGGAATGTTTGTTCACTTTTATTTTACTGGGGAGGTTTAAAGTGTATCTGCATTGTAAATCCAAATTAAATATTACCAAACAATGCTGTTCATTAGTCTTGTCAAGTGCTTATTGCCAATAGTTAAGTGAAAGTTGTTGTCATAATTTTGTATTGTAACTTTTTTATAGTTCTTGCTGATTCAAAATCTTCAAAGTCATATATTTTTACTTCATATTTTCACAGATCAAAAGAAAAATTTTTAAAGTTTACCTGATGACTATATTTGAATCTTGGTTTTAGAAATGGGTTTTAAGGTATACTTGTAATATCCAAATCAATTACACTTTTTAATGATAGTAAAATAGATTCTATACTTAAAAAAATTTTTTCCCTCTAAATTTCAGGCAATAAATTATCAATCTTTATAAATTGAGAATTTGTTAAAGCACTTTTTTTTTTTTTTTGAAGAGTAATTTGTATTAGGTAATTCTGTCCATTATCAGTTTAAACACCTGAAAATTTAAGTTTTGGGCATTGTTTATAGGCTAGCTACCTGAGTGATTGCTATAAGCAAAATATTCAGGTAAATTGTTACATTTAATTGTATACAAATGTGTGCACTTTCGAATAGATAAAAATAAATGAAAATCAACTTTGAAATATTCTGGCAGGACATAGGGTAAAAATTTTATGCACACATGTATAAACTATGTCATTGAATATACATAGTTTTGTCTGTCATATTAATGATTGTATTTTTTATTGCTTTTATTTTTTTATAGCCACTTATCAAATCTTATCTTGGGCAGGATATCAGATACTTGTTTTCTTGCTTAAATTTCTTGTGTGTGTTATATATATATAAACAGTTATTAGATTGATCCTAACTAATTGGATTATCTGGTTTTATCAGGAGGCAATCTTATTGAGCTTAATTTTAAATTTCCAAGACACTACACAAATTAATGTTTTGGTTGCAATGGATTGTTGATGCAAACTTTAAAGTTCATATAGAACCTTTTTGATTGATAATATAATCCCAATCAACATTTAAAGTAACTCCTTGAAGTCTGTAATGTTCAATTTCTGATTTTTTTTTTCTCAGGTGTAGAAGGCTATTCTGACTCTTCCACCATTTTTAGATAACTCTTGCTAAGACTTTAAATCTTCCACTATAGGAGTAGCAAGTCCTAAATTTGTTAGGCTTATCTCTCTCTCTCTCTCTGTGCATGAGTGAGATGATCTGCTTGTACTACATTTGTCTATATTTTAATACATGTAAATTTACAATGCCTATTCATAAATTTTTTTTTTTTTTTACTTGTGTTCATACTAAAGATTTTGTCATTTTTATTTGTAAATTTAAAATGATTTTTTTTCTTGCATTACAGGTCCACAAAATTGCTAGGTTTGCCCCGACCCTCTTGATGCAAGTGGTCATGGCTGATCAGTTGGATATGCCAGTCAGACAAGCAGGTATTCAGTTTTTCTTTGTTTTAATAATCTAATTTAGTTTAGCAATATTTTGTAGTTGCTTTTTTAATTAAAGAATTTCTGGTTATAATTCATAGGCGACAGCAAATGTAATTGTAATTTATTATACATAGCTTTCCTGTTGTTGCAATGCTAAAAATAAGATATCCTGAATATCATAGTAATTTTGAAGAGCTTTCCTGATACTACCACCCTGTGTGGAAATTTACTATCTTTATACATCTGTACTAAAATATTGGGAGTGGGAGAGGGTCTATTTTAATGAAATACTTCCCATATTTTTAATTGGTTGTGTTTTCATGTCCAATATATCAGTGTTATAGTGATGAATCTTGTAGCTGGCGTACCTGGGACAAACCTTTTAAGAAAATAAGCTCGTACTTATTGGGGCACCAAGTAAAGTACCAGACTCATGGGTGGTGGATGGTATTAGTTTGCTTCTAAAATTTCAGTAAACATCTGGGCACTAAAATGGTGGTACTAAATGGTGTTTCACCTATTTTAACTAAGTACACGTGTACCAATTTCTTAGTACTTAAATTTTATTTTGATCAAGTTCTTGGAGTCATTTCAAAAGTACTTGGTGTGATGCTGGAGCAGTAGATTCACTTTCACCTTTTCACAAAATGACAGCAGTTATTTTCATCCATGTAATTTCCTGTGTTTTGTAAGAGCCAGGAAGAATGCAGTTCTTGTATTTCACAAATATCAATTTCAAATATGATTTTCAATTTTTCTTTTTAATTAAAAGTACAAACTTATCATTCCCGAGGCATCCGTTAATGTGGATCCAAGCATGGAATTTGATCATGGAACATTTTAATAGATGAAAATGTGTTATAGGTATAAAATGACATTTGTAAACACAGGTAATGAAGTTTAAGCATTTTAAAGGAGTGGCGAGACATGGCAGAAGTATAAAGAAGTGACATAATGATTGATGATGTAAGAAACTATATTTGAATATTTTTTTTTTTTTTTTTTTTTTATCTGTTTAAATTGAGTTTTTCCTTTATTTTGATGGGCAAACAACAAGAATTAAAAACTTGGAAAATTTTGGTTCCTTCATACCAAAATGCTTTCAGAATTTTAATACTAAATAGACAGATCTGAAGGTTTTGAGTTAAAGGGTTTCGTCAAAATGATGGAAAATGCCATCAAAGGAAAAAAAAATTACTGGTTGATGCATTTAAGGACCTAATCTTAGGTCATTCAATTGATGTCAGATTTTAGTCTCAGAAAAAAATGAAAACCTTTTAAGCTTTAATTACAATTTACTCATTAAAATAAGTTCTATTATTATCAGATTTAACCTCTTTCCAACAAGTGACAAATTTCATAATTTTTTTTTTTTTATGTCTTTTGATTTGGATGAATCTAGAGTAGTTCCATCTTTTTGTCTTTAAGAAAATGTCCATTAAGAGGGCTCTATAAATTTTGGAATTGGTGGTAATCAGAGGCAAAATTTAGAGAATGAGGAAGGTGTATAATTTTTTTTTTTTTTTTCTCTCTTCAGATGAGCTCATTTGATCCTTAAATATTGAAATGTGTTTACAAGAGTGCAGGTGTTCATTCTTAATTTAATGCTTGGTTTCTGTCAAATCATAGGGAACACATTTTCTAAGTCCAGGCACTTTTCCAAGTTTTTGCAGATCATGAACCATTGAAAGGCTTGAATTCAATTTTTAAAACTCCTTCTACAATTGTAACTGCACAATGTACAGGCCATTATACTAAAGTCCTGTTTTCTCAATCTTTTCAAAGCAATTTTGATCTTTTCTTTTTGCGTAAAAGAAAAGAAAAAGTCTCATAACATGCTTTTGGTTGTTTCTGCATCATTGGCTTTTTTATAAGACTGATTATTATGTTTTGTGTATTGTTGGCATGCGCAGTTTTAGGAGAGTCAAGTTAGCATTTAACTTGAATTGTACTGTGATGATGAAATTAGCTACTAATTTAAAACTGCACAAATATGTATTAGCAGGTCTTGTTAGTTAGAATAGTGAAAATATCATCCAGTGCATTACTATAATATTTAAACCTTACTTATATGGACTGGTAATAGAAATTTAAAACTTAGCTGATAAAATAGAAGGAATATTATTTACCAAAGGAAATTTCAATGTCTTGAAACTCTTCCCCTAAATACAGATTTGTATTGACTGCTAATCAGATTAAAAATTATTTCACTATTAACACTTAGCAATATCTTCTTTTAAAGGAATAGGTTTAGCCTATAACTCTCAAAATTAAAAGGTTTTAATTTAAACATTTTAATGAAAAATAAAACCATTGTTTTTAGCTAATTATCTTTATATGGATTATATACAAAATTAATGAAATGTTAAAACTAACTTTTCTGATGTCTTTATTTTAAATCTGTTGTCTTTACGGAAAAGCAATACTTTTAAAATTTACTGTACAGTTATCACAATTATTTGATATTTAATTAAAGAGAAAGTTCTTGCACAAAATAGATTTTTCATTTATTGGATTGTATTTGTTAAAACATCATGATCACACCATATTCATGCATTTGGCTATGCACTTCAAAATATTCATTCCCCGCTCCCTCTTCAGATTTATATTTTTATCTTTTTAACAGGTGTCATTTACTTTAAAAACATGGTCATGCAATTCTGGCAGGATCGGGAAGCAGAAGAGGTTAATGAGCCACTTCCATTTAACATTCATGAACAGGACCGTGTTGTAATAAGAAACAACATTATTGAAGCTGTTATTCACAGTCCAGATGCTGTGAGGTAGGTATTTTTTGCTTTTTGAGGTTGCAAGCATTTCTTTGTTAAAAATGAGCCTTGAACCATAATCTACCTGAATATGTTTAGTTGCATACAGATAGCTTATTTTATTTTTTCTAGGTACACATGCCAAATGCCTACATTCCAAATTGTTTTATGTAGTGTAACAGGTGGTGAACGAAATTGATTTTGATCTTCAATCTGTATCCAATTGTAATCTATTACAAGAAATAGTTCTTGTTTGCCATTTTTGGTTTGTGTCCTATTGCTGTTAAAATGCCATTCAAAAATTAGAAAAATCTAAATACTTGAATGTCAAAAGTTGATTGAGATCTAAATTTTCTATTTTGTTGTATTTGCATCTGTCATCCTTGCAATCAGTTAAATTCTTCAAAATGCATTGTCATGACAACTGTTATAATTTATTTGAACTGGTCTCTTTGTTCTGTTCTTATCAGTTCACTTGCCAAATTACCCATGCCTTGATTTGTGTCAAAATTTTTTTTTTTTTTTTTTTTTTTTTTAAGAAAATGATGATTGATTTTAAATCATTGTTTTAATTTGTGGAAAAAATGATGCATTTCAATCTTCTTACTCTATGATCTTCCATCTTCTGGCTTTCTCCTTTTATATTTTTGGATAGGAGTTATTCCTTGTTCAAATTTAAACTCAAGTCCAAAGAGATAAAAAAAAAATCCTGTGTGTGAACCCCCCTAAAAAAAAAACAAAAAAAAACTCTGGGATTTGGTACCATGAGGTGTCTACACTTTTGAAAATACATGTCTACTAAAATACCAATATTTTTCTGTCAAAGTAAATTGAATGCAAAAAAAAAAAAAAAAAAAAAAGTTTTCCTTGTGGAAAGATGTAGGCAAAACTGAGTGAAAGTAAAAATGATACCATTTAAAACACCATATTGTCGGAGGTACAATCATGTATTTCAAGTAATTGCAAGAACTGTTCTGACCACTATCATATGTATACTTTGCATTACAAGAGACCACCAGAAAATAGTGATACTTTTACCTACTGTAAAAGTGAGACAGTCTGCATTGGTATTTTCATTTTTAATTTTTCTCGATCTACCATCCCAAAACTAATCAAATAAAGAAACTGAGGAGTACTCAGTCAAATGTTCTGATTTATGAATCGCTAAACTATTAACTTCTAGTTTTACATGGTAGTAGAATAGATAAAAAGTTGTAGTCTTTTTAAAGCATTTATATGAAAAGCAGACAATTAATATTCTAGTTGGAATTCCTCCCACTTCTTCTCAATTCCAAAGAAGTATTCATTGGTAATTTTTCAGAATCTGGGAAGAAATAAGCTGGTGGACAGCATCTGGTTTGTCTTCTATGGTAAAAAAAAATACAAAAGCTTGCAAGGGAAGAAAATTTTTCTTTTTCTGGTTATAATTTGAAGTTTCATATTAGTGAATTAATTGAAAAAGGGGAAAAAAAATGGTTAAATAAAGTGTACAAAGGTTGTGTAATGTTGGTTAAGGGAAAATCGAAAAAATTAACTGAAATATAATTTTTTTGACTTTGTGGTAGATACTAATAGTGATGATTTTTATCACTTAACTATAAACCAAAAGAAAAAAGTATTAACTTTTAACTGGCTTGAATCCTAATTCCAGCAATCTAAAAACACTGGAATTTAGTCAAATACATCTTGCTTACCATGCCCCCCCCATTTAATGACCATAGTTAAAAGTAAGAATTTATTAACTTTATAATGTTGATATGCAACACCTCATTAAGAAATTAGAAAGAAATAATAATGTTAAATAAACAGGCATTGTTTGAATTCTTGCTGCCTAAATACACCTTATATAAATTTGATATGACCAAACTTGACAACATTGAAATTGTCAAAAATGTTACCATCCCAAACCATGTACATCTTATAAAAAAGTCTTTCATTTTATGTAGTAATTACATTTTAAAATTTAATTACTTTTTATAATAGGTGATAAATGTAAAATAGATTTTCTAAAGCCATAACAGTTTTTAGTGAACAAATGTAAAGTTCAGTAACAGCTCATATTTGAAAGCAGTGTTCTGATTTGAAGAAATCTGCAATTTTTTTCTGCATAACAGCAACTACAAAAACACTGGTACAAGACTGAAACAAAGTACATCTTGAGTGCAATTGGGCCATAAATTTCAATTCTACAGTTCAGTCACACTTAATGTTTCATAGTATGTTTAAGCTAAATTTTTTTCCACGGGGTACATCAGTGAAATGACTTTTAATTTGCTATGTAAGTACAGGCAGAAGCTCAAAAAGAAAAGAGGAAAAGCAAAGATAAAAGGTGTCGGGGACAAACATCTTGCTCAAAGATAAATTCATTTACACTCATTGAATTTGTAGTTGAAAGGAAAATAATAAATTATTTTAAAGTAATAAATTTTAAAATCTCAAACTTTATCAGTGTTTTTTAAAATTTGAACAACTGAAGAAATTTTATTCACATGTCAATTTTACAAATAAAAAGTCCCTTTTGATCTCTAGTCAGTGGTGAGTTCATGCTGAAAAATAGATACTTTACAAGTTCCATGTCAGTGTATATTTATGTATAAACTGTTGGTCCAAATTGTTGCCAAAAGTAATGTTTGCGAATCAAATTTGACTCAAGAAAATGTAGATGGGGAGGATGATAGAATAGAAAATGTCTTTAAAAAAATAAGAATGTTATTTTTAAAGTTTGCTGGCTAATGATAACCTGTATTTCTAGCTTTTGTAAATGTGAAAAGATAAAATATATTAACATTTTGGCTTTTATTTCATGACTTTCTATTAAAAGTTCAATCTGGCAACCCTGTCCATTTATTTATTTTTTTATTTTTTATTTCTGCCATAGATGGCTAGAAAATCTAAAAACATAAAGACATTTGGCCAGATGTCATCAAATTTGTGAACTTAATTTAAAAAAAACAAAAAAACAGGAAAATGTCCCTCTGACCAAGTCCTCCTCCTGTGGTGTTGTCAAACATGACGTTTTATTTCAAGTGAAACTGCAGATTTTTTTTTGTGTTTTGAAAGACATTGAACTATTTCTGATAAAATAATCAGCAATAAAATGTAGCTTCCTTTTCTTGTAGATGATTTTTTTTTTTTTTGTAGCATGATCATGAAATTTAAGATGTGTAAAGGAAGAGCACACTAAAAAGATAATTACATTTTCCAAACTGAATGAATTTAAGAACTTTGTAAAAACCCAAACATGCATAAAGATGCTGCAAATATTGAGTGTGGATTTCTGGTAGGTGCACAATTTATCCAAAAAAGGAAATGTCAACAAAAGATCTGTTTGCATGCAGAATTGCAACAGACAATGTTCATCACCATCATTGAGAAATCTCTGGCAAATTCTCCCCTTAGATACTCTTAGATACTAAAGTCATTTGCATAGCTGAACCCTAGATCCATTTGTAAAAAAAAAAATTGCCACAGAAGACAATCTAAAAAGGTGTCTTCTACACGTGATGGACAGAAAACAAGTCAGCAAGTCTGATTGTGTAATGACATCCTCAGTTAATACAAAGATTTTGAGGAAATATTGCTTTCAACAATTTCAGCAAGCATGAAAACCATCTCTACACTTTGTTCTACTCTTTGTCTAGCAACAAAGAATTATTAAAAACTGGAAAGTTGTTCAGATTGCTGGTATTCTCGTATACAGGCTATGAGTACTCTTGATAGCTGAAATGTGTAGCTTTTAAGAATTCAAGTGTGTAGTTCAAATTTTTCAAGTGTAGTAGAACTACAAACTAGAATGCTACACAATGTAACATAGCCAGGTCTGCATTCAGTTGTGTTAGCACTCAACACTTGGATTTTTTTGCTTTCAACTGGTCCATGTGATGAAAAAAAAAAAGACAAAAGAAAACAACTTTATTTTAATAAAAAGCTCAAATCAATATTATAAGAAAAAAAATACTTATAATTGCAAATCTATAATCAAATCCTTTCATTTTTCCTTAGAATAATAAATTGTAAGATTACAGCAGGGAATCCATTTAATTTTATCCAACAAAATATGGAAGAATATTTACTATATCTTGTAGCAAAGAATTCTTTTCATTACAAAGAAACTGCACATACAAGATATTTCTGAATGTTTTATTGTCTTTATTCAACAATATTTTTATATCCTCTTGTAAAATGTTTGTTTATTTACAGTACTCAGTTGTGCGTTTGTTTGAGTACCATAATTAAATATGACTATCCTGGAAGATGGCCTGACCTCACAGAAAAGATATCTATGTACATACAGTCTGAAAATCACACAACATGGATGGGAGCTTTAATGTGTCTCTATCAACTTGTCAAGGTCTATGAGTAAGTTCTATTTTTGATTTATCTTTTTCCTCCCTTTTAACACTGTATTGGAAACAAATTTTCAATCTTTTTATAGAAAAATTACCAAAATAAGTTATTAAACTTGTAAAAAAACAAAACTAAAAGATACTTTCTTTATGTTACCATTTAAAATTAACTGTTGTTGTAAATGAAAACTTGGAGAAATTAAAGGCTCTTTCATAGTATGATTTAAAGAAAAAACAAAAAACTAAATTGTCCAAATTGATCTAGATTATTAGAAACTTACTCAGAAAGTCTTAAGTTGCTTTTCTGTTAATAAATTGTCTTTTCTAGATACAAAAGAGCAAATGACAGAGAAGTGCTCAACCAAGCCATGGTTATTCATTTGCCACTCATCTACAAAATGATGATCCAAATTATGCCAGATCCATCACCAGCATCAAATCTATTACAAAAGCAAATTTTAAAAATATTTTATGCATTAATACAGGTAAGACTGTAATTTTATAAATCTGATCAACTTGTAATAATTGTTTTAATTTGTTAGCTTTGTCTGTTTTAAATGTAAGCAGACATTGGGATGTTTATGATGGTATGTAGATAATGAGTGCTTCAAAATCTGCAAATCTCTGGTTTTCATTGGTTAATGTATTGCATCTTAAATTTGCTTCATTTAACCAAGGTGATATTTCTGGTTAGAATTGACATTCTACCTTATTTTGCGATTAATTAGCATAAACTTAAGATATTTAGTCTATTTATTAAGGTTCACATAACCTGGCACACATTCATAAATTTGTATGCATTACCAATATTCCTAAATGGTCATTACTGATGATGTTTGATGTCTTCATCATAATTGGACAGTAAACCCAACAATTAAGATATTTTTTATTTATTTTTAATGTAACAGATTTTGAACAAGCCAACTTTACTACTAGTACACACTCATAATGCATTTGGTAAGGTGCAAATTCACTATAGATAACTTGAATGAGCAACATGCTAACTACTGGACCATGGTAAATATTAAAAAAAAAAAAATTGTAAAATTGTAAACAAAGGTTAAGATTATTTTCCAATATATTGTATATATTGCCTTCAACATTATTCGGTAAGTGATGAAAACCATAAATATCTTGGCTATTTTATTAATTGACAAAAATAACTTTTATCAATTATTTTCCTATTATTTTTTTTGTGTTTATGTATGTGTCTGTTATAAATGCTTATGTTGCATTAAAATTAGTTTGTTTTGCTTTAAATTACTGTATGCACTGATGTAGCCAAATTGTCTTGTTGATAAAAAATTTTTTGAAGATTCTTTTAGAACTTGTAATTTAACATTTGTTTTGTTATCTGTTTATTTATATGTATAAGCTTTAAAGTTTTTAAGAAATGTATCAAAGCCCAGGCTTTGACTTAAAAGGACAGGGAAAATTTTTAATTATATTTCCTGGCATCTTACCTGTTTTGCAGTAAACTAAAGTCATTGTAATATGTAAGATGACATTTTATACAAATAAATATGCTAGATCCGCAACTTTAAACTTTTTTTTTTACCATTGTCTTAAATTGACCTTAATTGAAAATGTTTCTTTTACCATTATTAGTAATAAGTAGTATAATAAAAACACCAAAGATTGAAGCTAAAATATTAAAGTTTTAAAATGAATAAATGTAAAAAAAATTCTTTAAATTTTACTGTAATTTTTATAAAAATCACAAACTAACCACAAACTGTAATTCCAAAACATTTTGGTTAAATCACCTAGAATAATCTTACACAAATGATTTTAGTAATTTTCATTCTCAGTAGTAATTGTATGCTATGCATGTCTTTAAAGTTTATATAAAAAGAAATTTCAATTTACAATTATTTGCTTAATGACTGAATTTTCCATATGAGCAAGAAAAGTATAATTTTCTTTGTTTATTGAGGCAAAATTAGTTCTTACAATTAGATTTTATGCTTTTTACAGTTTTCATTTGGGTTTCTTTCAACAGTTTAAAAAGGTTGAATTTTATTTATTATTTTTTACATATGTGCATATTTATTAAAAGCCCTGTGACTATAGAATTTTTTAAATTTTTTTTCTTTTTTTTTTTTTTTCTTTTAATATAAAGAAACTTCAAAGTTTTGAATCATCCAAGTATTGGCCCCCAAATCCTAACCAGTCATCCCAACCTAATGTTGTATTGTCTCTGAGACAATGTTAATTTCAAGCCCTGGTCAGCTCTTAAGTATGTTGCCAAATGTATTTTGAATGTTAAGAATGGCTTGGTATTCTTATATAAATAACTTTCTCTTTAATAGAATTTTCTCCCACTAAATCTAATTGACCGAGAAACCTTTACACGATGGATGGAAATCATCAGGCAAATTGTTGATCGTCCAGTTCCAGAGGTAAGGACAACTTTAATTTGCTGTCTGTCTATCCTTTTAGGTTTAATAGAGTGATATAAAATCCTTTTTGTGGGAAGGAATAAAAGAACAACAATTAATTTCTTGGAGAAATTTGTGTGCTTTTCATTCAATGGCTTATTCAAAGATGGAGGCGTGGCAGGGATATAAAAAACAAAAAAAAAATAAAAAAAAATCAAACAATAATTGCTTACACTTGTTTTATTCAAGTACCTTTACTACTGATGCTAATGTGTGTTTTTTTTTTTTTTTTTTTTTTTTTTTAAAACAAGGCTGCCAACCAAGTTGAGGAAGATGAACGTCCTGGATTACCTTGGTGGAAGGTCAAGAAGTGGGCACTGCATATCTTGGCTCGAACTTTTGAACGGTGAGGAGGTTTTCAGTATTCTGTTTTCAATTGTTCTTTATTTAAATTTGGTTTTTAAAACCTGGCTTAACTCAAAGCTTTTTGTAGTGTGGAACTCTTTTTTTTTTTTTTTTTTTTATAGTGAATCTTTTGGTACCTACATATGATGCTTTAAATGTTTAAAGATGTTTATTTTTAAATCTAATTTCAGTTATGGAAGTCCCGGTAATGTCACTAAAGATTATACAGAATTTGCTGAATGGTACTTAAAAAGCTTCACTTGTAAGTTGACTTTTTTTTTTTTTTTTTTTTCAAAATTTAATCTGGATTAATTTATAATTTAATGTTGGATTTATTTTTCTTTGATATATTAATTTATATTTCATTCTAATGTAAGAAGTATGTTGATAAATTATGTTATAGAAGGGAATGACTGATATATTAGGAAACTGATATGTAATATCAGTTAATTATCAAAAGATAATCAAAGTTTACAAGTACAGGTCTGAAATTAATCAGTTTTTAACTTTTTAAAACCTTACAATATTTTAATTTATTTTATTTTTTTAAGGTGGCATAATTCCTGTCCTCCTAAATTTGTTGGACCAATATCGAAAGAAAATGTATGTTGCACCAAGAGTTATTCAACAAACTTTGAACTATCTTAATCATGGGTAAGTGAAAGAATAACTTTTTTTTTTTTTTTTTTACATTGCAATGTAATAAAAAATCTAATAAAAACCTCATTTAGGGTTTGATATGTGTGTGTTAAATGTTGACTTCTCATGAGACTATATTCCATGAAATTATATTTGGATAATTTGTTATTTTACAATGATTTGAAAGAATTACTTGCATGTATGTTAATGACTTTATTTTGCTGGTACTGATGTAAGATTGATAATTTGATTGGAAATTCGGCATTAAGTATATTGCTTTTAACTAACCAATTTCAATATACATTCTGTCTTATTTCCTGTTATCAGTAGGACACAGAAAAACCAGTGAACTGTGTGAATCTGAAAACATTGATTGGTCAGCATAACTGCTCACATTAGATCTGATATTGCTATTCATACATGTCAATTCGAGTGTATTTTACCACAAAGCAACTGTCAGTGATTTATTAAAAATTAAGCTGGTAACTTGTATTGCTAGTCATAAGAATTGGTCTTCCCTAAGGTGCATATTTGAATGTTATTCAGATGTTTCTTTTTGCTAATTCCCCCAATGGAGATTCTCAAGGGGCTTCTATAATATTTGTAAAGGATGATAAATGTCAGTGTTGTCCTATTTACTGGCAAAATAAAACTTCTCTACTGAGACAATTGTACAACTTGAATGCACAAACAGTAGTTTATATTTACCTTATCACCTGGGGGAGATGTCACAGTTCTTGTCAGAATTGTAGATAGAAAATGTCTGAAAAACATGAAAACATTTCAATTATCATCAGTCTCTCAAATAAATGTTTTTCCTCTTCTTCAAGTATTGTTATGAATATGTCTATTTATGAGTCCTGACTTATGATACTTTTTGTCCATGAAATTATTCTATATATAAAAATAATTATTTTAATTAGGGTTTCCATAAATTCATTCATGCAATTTTCTTGTTTTCAGGATTAGCCATGCTTTCTCTTGGAAGTGTATCAAGCCACATATAGTTGTATGTTGATTCAGCTTTTATTCTTTATTACATTTTCTGCTAAACATTTTGTAGTGGAATTTAGAATATATGATTTGATTAGTACAATTAAAACTTCATACTATTCTTGTATCATTTCAATGAAGTAAATCTATAAAGATGAAATATGTAGTCTAACTCCTTAATTTATTTAAATTTTAGCCCCCCTCCAGAAAAAAAATTACCTGCATATAGAGCAATAATGATTAAAGAAAATGCATGATTTTTAACCTCTTCAAAAAAAAAAAAAAAATTATGTGTATAGTGAAACTCCCAATTTTTTTTTTTTTTTTTTGTGTAAAAATTGCTCATAAAGACACTATACTCTTTATATAGAGCTTTAATAAAATCTAAATCCTTTACCAAAAGCTTTGAAATATCAATGAACTTAATTTTCATTTTTAAGGTTATAATCCAAGATGTTGTATTTCCACTAATGTGTCATAGTGATGAAGATGATGATTTGTGGAACTCTGACCCTCACGAATATATCCGTATGAAATTTGGTTGGTAGTTTTGAATTTTATCTTTGTATTCATATCAATAAAAAAAAAATTTTTTTTTTTTTTTTTTTTTTTTTTTTAATGCGTCAATATAAAGAAGTATTTTAAACTGGATGAAAGCAATTACAACATATCAGTTGTTTTCAAATTCTAGCAGCAATTTATAACTTAGGTCTCTTACAGTATTTTTGTCTTGTTCAATATCATTACACAGAAATTTAATTTTAAGATGCAGTGAATAGAGAAAAAAATGATTCTCTTTGCATTAACATAATCTTTACCTTCTCAAATTCTAAATATAACTTGTTGGGACTGCTTTATGCTAGAAATATTTTAGTAACTTTTTTTCATTCACTTCTAATTTTGCTATGAAGTTTTATTATTTATATTTTTGTAATAAAGGCTTATCTAAATCCTGGAGTGATTTTTTTTTTAATTAGTCTAAAATTTATACTTTCCTATTATTGAATGTTTTCATTAACATTTATTCTGGCTTTTATTATTTTTTTTTTCCCCAGACATGTTTGAGGATTTCTTGTCACCTGTTGTTGCTGCCCAAACATTATTCCATTCAGCTGTTGGTAAGAGGAAAGAAGTATTACAAAAAGCTATGGGCTTCTGTATGTCTATCTTGACTCAGCCTGAAGTTGATCCTAGACAGAAAGACGGTGCATTGCACATGATTGGTGCAGTTGCTGATATTCTGCTAAAAGTAAGAAGTTTAATCTTTATTGTATTAATTGAAGACTGTAATTTAGGGAAGGCAGAGCATATAGAATATATAGTTTGTTGATAGGAGTAAAGCTGTTAAACTATACATTTTGGAATAATTTTACATGTTTTATTACATGTGCATTATAACAAATCTTGTTTTAATCTGTCTGCTCTAAAATAAATATTACACTTACGATATATAGTTGTGGTGGTTAAGTTTTGTACTGTAGGAAATGCAATAAATAGGGAACTAGTAAATTTTTTTTTTTTTTTTTTTTTTTCAATAAATCCTAATTTTTCCTGTTTTTATTGTAACAGGAATTTTCAAAAATGAGATCAGTCCATTTGGGAGTTGGAATCAAAACAGCATAAACAAATGAATATCATTATTTTCGCTAAACATTTATCATGTATGTCAACTATATGGAGACTTAGGGTAAAATTTTTGATTTAAAAAAGTAACTTAAAGCAAAATGTTGAATGATATTAAGTAATTAGAATAAAATTAATGTAATATGTTTAAATACAACAGAAGTTGTGATAATATATTTCTAAGGAGGTAAGAATTTTTTTTTTTTTTTAGCTATCCTAATAAAATCTCACCACCCCCTCCCCCGAATTGATCTATTGTATTTGGTATTTTAGGAAATAAAATGAACCACCTATATTTTTTTTTTTTGTTTCTTTTTAAATGTGAGTGGTGGTGGGGGGGACATAGATACTGGTTGTATTGGGGCAGATATATTCAGTGGCAAAGACTATTCCTTGTATTAGCAAATTAGAACATTGTTACTAAAAATGTTAAAATTTATTGTTTTGATGTTACTGTTGAATATTTATTGCTAATTATTTTTAATTTCTCTTTTAAACAGAGAAAAATCTATAAAGATCAAGCAGAGATGATGCTTACCAGTCATGTGTTTCCAGAATTTAGAAGTCACCATGGTTATCTGAGAGCAAGAGTAAGTTGATTTATGATGTATCTACAGCTCTCATATAATCCCCCCCAATACTGTTAATGTTTCAATATTAATGGCTCTAACTTTAAATTAACCTTTAAACAATCATAAAAAATCACTTTAATTTTTAAGTAGTTTTATTAAAAATTAAATTTTAAAAACTAGAAATGAATGATTAGTAAAATTTAGTATTTTAGTCTTGTAAATAATTGGAAGATATACAAGTAACTCATTATTTTACTAATATCGGTAACTGACTTCAACATAGTTTGAAATATAAGAACTTTTATAAAACCAATTTCAAAGGGTGTATTACTGTTGCTTCCATTAGTTAATAACTGACAAATGTATTTTTCATTAAAATTTTCTCTTTCAACTGGCTCCAGTTTCCTAGCATTGTAGATCCTCTTTCCTGGAGTCAAATAAGTTAACATTATAGCTATTATTCTGTGAACTTTTCAGGTTTGTTTGCATTTTTTATTTTTCAGGCCTGTTGGATGCTACACTATTTCAGTGAGTTGAGGTACAAACAAGATAATAATTTGATGCAGGCTTTGGAACTTAGTAAGGATTGCTTGTGTAATGACAATGAACTACCGGTCAGAGTAGAAGCTGCCATAGCACTTCAAATGCTTGTTACCCAGCACGAAAAGGGTCAGTACTTTTTTTTTTTTGCCATTCATTCTAAAATTAAATTTTAGCCCAACCATCAGCTAACAGATATGCTAATATGAAAATTTGTATTTCTTTTTCATAGTTTATAAATTATGAAAGATTTTTTTTTTTTTTTAAATCCATTCATGAAATTGTATCACCATGGCTGTTGGGTAAAAGGAGTCATTGGTAATAATTAGTCTTTAAGCCAAACATCTGATTTAGATGTTTGGCTTTGTTAGTAATAAAATTATATGAAATATTTATTTTGATATGAATTAAGTCTTTAAAAAAAAATAGTTGTGTAGAATATTACTTATAAAAATTTTTTTTTTTTTTTTTTTTTTTTTTTAAATTTCTACCATTACTAGTAAAATTATTCTTTAACATTTTGAAGTTTTGCTCATTCACTAACGTCACTAATTCTTTATTACTCGTGAGATTTTAGATTTCTCATTAAAGAAACCTTTACTTAGATTTTTGTGTTCCATTTCAATTAAAATTATGAACATTTCTATGTTTCACATTAAACTTTTCATTATTTTTATCTCTTTACAGCTAAGCAGTTTATTCGCCCTCATGTGAAACCTGTCATCCTAGGCAAGTCAAATACTCACTATTTTTCTTTTCATAGTGAAAATATTAAAGTAATCTAGTTCACCTTAATAGTAGATAATGTTTTATTTTCTAATATATTGTCTTTTAAAAATATATCTGCACTTGAAGAAAAATATGGAAAAACAAAAATCTGATTATGCAAGTATGCTGTTTTAATGTTGTTTCAATGTCGATGTCAGACGTTTCGGTCTAGTAGACCTTCTTCAGGACATAGTTATTAAAACATAATTAAAATTAGACGATATTCAAGTCAACATGAAAAGATGATAGACATAAGACTAATCAAAACAGAATAACTGAAATTTTTAAGATCAGTGTTCTGTTTTGCAATATGATCACGTCGGTGTCACGTGGGCGATGTTGTGAAGACGTATTCCTAAAATATACTATATTTTAAATGAAAAAGAATTTTATTTTAATCTAAAATTTATAAGTACATTTGTCCAGCATTAATCTTGCTAGAAAAGGGGAAATATTAAAGAAACCGGGTCTAGTATTCACCGTGCATGAGATAGATATTATGCCTGCCTCATAAATCCGTCTAAGATTTTTATTATGAGTATATTTTTTGATTCTATGAAGATTTTAAAATATATTCATAATAAAAATCTTAGACGGGATTATCCTATCATGGTTGACAATAGGTGCAGTAACTATTTATGGTTACTTTTTTTTTTTTTTTTTTTAAGTATTGTTCAACTTTGAGATATCTGGAAATGGAACATAGCATAAGGTGTGGATTTGTACTTATCCCAAAAGGTATTGGTGCCAAGTTGAACATAAGCAACCTAAACTGAAATTTCAAGTTGGTTTACCATGCTTAAAACTTGCAATACAATTCTGGAGTATTGTATAATAGTCACTTGTAATTACACAAGTTGACTATTAAGTTTCATGTAGAACTTTTAAAAAAAAATTAGATTAAAGTATTAGGGAGAAGAAACCGTCTTTTGAACTTAATAAATAATGATAGCATTTTTGTGCAAAGATGTGTGATAATTTGGTTATAATTTTTAGTACGACAAAAATTACATAAGGTTGAATTTCATGTGAATGTATCGATGTTCCTTCTGCTTTTAATGATGCAATTTAAAAATAATTTACTTTTCCACAATTTGCAGAAGTGTTAAGAATCATTCGGGAAACTGAGAATGATGAGCTAACTAGTGTCCTTCAACGCTTGGTATGCAATTATGTTGAAGATGTTCTACCAATTGCTGTTGAGATGATGACACATTTGGTAAGATTTTTGTTTTCCAGTATTTTTTTTTTTCTTTTGATTTTCATCCATTACAAATAACAGGAATTTCCTTCAAACACATTTTATATAATTCAATATGTATGATGAAATTTTTTGTTATTGATGGAAATTCAGTTTTTCTTTATAAAATTAGCTCATTATATATGCATTCCTTCCTTCCTTTTTAAATTGCTTCTATTTATCTACTCTAGGCTCAAACTTTCAACCAATTACTGAATGCTGACATTGAATCTTCTGAAGATAAGGTTATTACTGCTTTGGGTGTCCTTAACACAATGGCAACTATACTTGATGTTATGGAGGGAAGGAAAGAAGTAAGTAATTTTCTTTTGTAACTCTTAGGATGTTAATTATGTTTTTTTTTTTTTTTTTTTTTTTCTCTCTCTCTCTCTCCAGCTTTTCACCCCAAGCAAGGCGGGAAGCCACTAGGACGTAAGGGGTTACAGAAAATTTGGGGCAAGATCAGATAGGAGTGATAGAGGAAAGAATAGTGGATAGATCAAGGCAACGAGATGTCGATTGATATTACATTTGAATAGTTGGAGATTATAGCTCTCAGGGAAACTGGAATAGGGAAGGGAGTTCCACAGGAGAGAGGTGCGAGACATGAAGCTATTGGAGTAGAAGAGACGGCTACATTTAGTAGTTTTGACAGTGAAAGGGTGAGAGCGGGATGCCACCCTCGTAGGGCACTTGAATTCATGAAGTCTGGGAACCAGTGAATGCAGCTCCTCGGAGCAATTACGATGAAAGTATTTGTAAAAAAGACAAAGGCGACGATGCGTCTGGGAGAGAGCGACTGTATACGAGATGCCAGAACAGGGCCAATTATATTGCATATCCACCTCTGGAGCCTATCAAGAACCCCGAGGCAAACAGAAGGGGCTCCAGACTGCCTTCAATTTTATGGTTGCAGAGTTATTGTACATTTTTATCAAATCAAAAAATAGCAAAAAGACTGATTCTATGCAATTTTCAGCATATATTGTAGAGTTACTGCTTATTCTATGTTATTCTGTTTCCAATTTAGATTTTGAAAAGAACAGACAAAACCGTATCAAATGGAAAATGTTTATACATGGTAATATTTTAGTGTGCATTAAATCTATTTAAAATATTTGAAATAGTTCAAATAACTTTCTGATATTTTTGAATTTTAAAAATAATTTAAATAATTCTAATTTATTGGATGGTCATATTTAGGTTGAGTATATTTGTATTTATGAATTTTTAAATTTTTTTTGAGATACTTAAAATCTTCAAATTAAACTTTCAAAGATTATTGATAAGGATTGAACCAATTTAAAATGTAAATTATACTGCAAATTTAATTTTTACATTTTGAAGTTCAGTTGAATTTTCTCTTAATTTTTACTTTCAAATTGGAAAAGTTGAAAGCTGACATGAATTTTTTTAATTTACAAAAATATTCAGAAATTTCAGTTGCTTGTGTGCCTAAAAATATTGAGCACAAAGATAATCAGTTACATTATCCCTGCCCATTTTGGTGTAAATAGCAAGGAAAGAAATGGTATACAATTTCAACAGGCATGCCAAGACAAACATGCCTATTAGAGAATATATGATAAAATAAGTGATTTGCTAAAAATTTTGGTGGGGGGGATAAAAAAATGTACATTTCTGCATTATATATTTTTAATATCCCTTAAACAATGTTTTTTTATATTACAAAAATCTTTAATAAGTTTTTATTTCATATCTACCAAATTGTATCAAATGTCAGCTTGTGTAAAATCAACTTATTGCTGTTTTTATTTTTGTCAGAATTGTTTTTTGTTTGTTTGCTTTTCTCTTTGTTTCAGATGATGTCGCAGTTAGAAGGCATTGTATTAAATGTTGTTGCTATTATTCTGCAACAGAACATCATTGGTAAGTATAAATATTTTTATCTAAATAGAAACGATTGGTTTAAAATTATATACCACCCCCTCTTTTAATGTAAGTATCTCATGAAATAAATTTAGACTTCGACTCTTCTTCAGATGAAATTTAACTTAATTTTCAAGATTTGGCAAACATTATCTTAAGACCAAATTTAAATCTCTAAGGATAACAACTTTTACCATCTTTATAAAACCTTGTAACTTTTTTTTTTTTTTTTTTGTAGTAAATTTCAAGTAACCAAATTACTTTAGATTTAAAAAAAAAAAAAAAAAATCTATTTAATTCAGTGTGTCTTAATATCTTCATTCTTAATATACTGTGCACATATTGGAATGGAAAGTTTTCTAACAATATTTGAAGCTTCAAAAACACATTAACAAATTTCTTTGAGCATCTACAAATACCATGTTGCAAGAAATAGAAGTTTAATGCATTTGTAATTGAATTTAGATAGAATTTTCTTGTAGTTGGGGATGGGGAAGCTGTTGTGGATTGATTATAAAATTTTCTTTGTCAAAATTCAATATGATTGATATTTAGATTTTCTCTAATATTTCTTGGAGTAATTTAAGATACACAGAACATTTATTTGATGACTAAATTTTAAAAACCATAGATAAGTTCATGTTATCGAATGTTAAATTCTGAACCCAAATAGGCTTTTACTTGAAACTATTGAGTTTGAATTTTTACACAAAATTTGATTTAAATGAATTGCAATTTTACTTTTTTAATTTTTTTTTAACATTCCTAAATATTCAGTACATCATTTTTACTTTTATATACTGCACTTCTCTCTTCAGATTTTTATGAAGAAGTCCTTTCACTTATATGTAGTCTGACAAGTACTCAAATTTCTCCTCACATGTGGCAAGTATTTGGTATGCTTTACCAAATGTTCCAAGCTGATGGGATTGACTACTTTACTGGTAAGTATTTCATTATTTTATTGCTTTGTGATGAGAACTAATTTTTAAATTTTAGAATTTACAATTGAAATAAGATCATTTTGTAGTACAGGAAAAGTTTTTATTTTTTATTCATGACTTGTAAGTTCTTGAAAAATAGCTAGTACTTCCATTGTATGGCTGTGTATTTTCAACCTAGGTATAAGCAAAGAACATTTATATAAATTTTTTTTTTCTAACTTGCAGATATGATGCCTGCTCTTCATAATTATATAACTGTTGACACCACTAGTTTCTTATCTCAACGTGAACATCTTGAAGCCATCTATAATATGTGTAAAACTGTGAGTATCTAAAAGTTGCTCTCTTAGACCTGTTTTAAATTCTTTTCCTGGTTATGATTCTCTAAAAGAACTTTAATGGTGGAAGGAAATTTCTTTAGCATTTAATCTTTTTAAATTTTTTGTATTTTTTGTTTCTTTTTTTTATTAGCAAAGAAAATTGCTTTGTTATAATAAAATGTTAATCTTTGCTTTTTGTGCTATATGTTAGTGTGTTCATTAACTATTGCTCATCTGTACTTGACACAAATGCTGACTTATCAAGGAATTGCTAGTTAGCATTTAATGACTATTTGATGGTTATGCAGTTAATTGAAATGGCTTGTTTCAATGAACTTGGGCCATAAATTATTTCCTTTTGATTATGGATAATTAATTTTAACTGGTTACTTGGAAATTTTAACACTTTTATTTTCCTGAAGGCTTCATTGACTTAATCCAATGTCATGTTTAAGGGATGTAATTAGTCTTTAGTTTTTTTTTTTTTCTCTCTCCTTAGAGAATAAGATTGTGTTAAAGATTAAAATATAAATTGGACTAATATTAATTAAAACTTTAATATTTTATAATAGTTTGAATATTAAGCAGTTTTATGCCTGTAATAGTTTGATATTTGAAGGAGTAAATTTTTTCTCTTGCTTATTGCAGGTGCTGTCTGCTGACGTTGGTGAAGATGCAGAGTGCCATGCTGCTAAACTACTAGAAGTTATTCTTTTGCAATGTAAAGGTCAAGTAGATCAGGTAAGTTAGTAATCATTTTAGTGTTTTAATATAAGTAATTATTAGAATTTTGAACCATAAGGAATAGATAACTATAAAAGAAAACTGAAAATATGATGCTACTTTTACTTGAGACCCCTAGGAGTTATCCTATAAGGATAAAACATATATTCAGCTTTTTCTCGTGTGTGTTTGGTTGGGGGGATATTCTTGCTACAGTTATTCCATCAAAATTTATATTGAGTTTTGAGAAAGATTTGCAATTAAATAGTTCATGGAAATATGTAAGTTTGCTTATCTTTTAATTAAAGTATTTTTCTTCAATAAAAGATGATTAGGAATTAGTATAGATAGATGTATTAAGTGAAGAATATTACATTTTTGCTCATAAAATTGGTACTCATTGAAATTATTTACTTGAAAAGACAGTTGGTACAGTTTGATTTTTATCCCACCCTATTTTTCACAACTGATATTGTCATGATTGCTACAGTATAAGCAATCGTGTTGCAATATAATTGTTTGCAATAGTTTGCAGTATAAGCAATTGTTTTTTAGCAGATGATGTAGAATTGCCAGATTTGGCTACAAATAGTGACTTGAGCAGCACTTGAAAGCCTGGTAAAAATCAGTTTTGTAACCCATGTTAGCCTATTTTGAAAGTAGCCTAAAATGTTGCAAGTAGTAGTGAAATTCAAAATTTTTTATTCTTTTTGAAGGAGGTCAATTTGGCTAACTACGGTTGAATGTTACTGTATTTAGCTTTGAAAATTTATTAGGGAATTTTTCATATTTTAAACTTTAATTTTGATAAATCTCAATGTTTGTGTAAAACTTTCCTTCCTCCAATAGTAATGCATCCCCCCCCCCTTATCTTTTTTAGGTTGTCCCAATTTTTGTTGAACTGGTACTGGAAAGGTTGACACGAGAAGTTAAAACATCTGAGCTGAGAACAATGTGTTTGCAAGTTGTTATTGCTGCACTGTACTACAATCCACCTCTATTGTTTGAGACTCTACAGAACCTGCAAATACCTCGTGTTTCAGGCTCTATAACTTCTCAGTTCCTTAACTACTGGTTGAATGACATTGACTGCTTCCTGGGGTGAGTTAAAAATGTTTTTTGCTCCTTTTAACATATTTAATTGTTGAATTATTTCATAATTCAATCCAAAATAATTTACAAAAATGAAATTAATATTTTGTTTTTAATAAATTGATATATTTTTTAATCTGGTGTACAAGTTAAAACTTCAGGTGCCTGAAAAATTGTCAAAATAAGCTAGGAATCAATTTAGTTTTTTCTTTTTATATTTAATTACAGTTTAAGTGAGTTTTTTTTTTTTTTTTTTTTTTTTTTATATTCTAGTGAACAAGAAATTTGAAACTTGAAATTGATTTGCTCTATTACTTGAAAACTGTTAAACATACACACGCATTTTTTTTTACACACACACACACACACACACACACACACACACCTTTTAAAAATATTCATGTTGAAGTAATGGAAAGGATATAAAATATTAGTGTCAGAAAAATCAAAATAACACTTATATTTGTGCAAGCAAAGTTAAGTGGAGTAGTTATGCAATCAATCTTATTCATATTTTCTTTATGAATTTGTATAGGGTTTTGTGAAAATATTACCATCTATAGAACTCCTACTCCATTTAATATTGATTTAAAGAAAAGTTTTTTTTTTTTCCTTTCAGTTTGCATGACCGTAAAGTTAGTGTGTTAGGCTTATGCTCATTGATCAACACTCCAGGCAATAGACCTAATGAAATTACTGAAATTGGTGGGCATATCTTACCTGCTTTGTTGCTGTTATTCAAAGGTCTGAAGAGAGCTTATGCTAGTAAGTATGTTTCCTAATTCCTGTCCTTTTTACAATTATGAGAGGATGCTGATTTGCAGCCTGATTAAGCATCAGAATTTTTATTTTTTTTAATCCCTTAATTGGTGGTGTGAATTTTTCAGCTTCATTTTATGTTAATTATGTCGCCTTTTTATTTATTTTTCCTTTAATTTTTATTTAAAAAAAATTTATTCTCAGGTAAGGCACAGGAATTAGATTCTGATGATGAGGAAGAGGATGAACTTGAAGATGGAGAACAAGGTACTGTTCTTTATTGCTAAATTGTTGCAATTAATTCTCCCATCTAACATTTTTATCATGACAATTATTTGATTCAGATAATGTTGATAATCACCTGGTTGAATGTCATGCATAAAATTAGCTTAATCAAACTTTAGTTAAAATAAAAATGTAATGTGAATTTTCAATTTTTTTTTTTTTATTTCAGGATGTTGCTTCTTTTTCTTTTTTTTTTTTTTTTTTTTTTTTTTTTGCTATTCTGTCAGCTTTGACCAAATTTGTTTTTCATTTTAGATATTTTGGAAAGCGATGAAGATGAAATAAATGAAGAAAGTCAAGAATACATTGAGAAACTGGAAAAAGTTAGTATAAAGCAATCATTGAAGCCTTGGTGTTCTGATGACTTCATCTTAGGATATTTCCTTTAAAATTTGGAAGATAGAAATATTTTTGGTAGTCAAAAATGAAGTGATTAAATACTGATAACAATTACCTTAATGTTTGGAGGTGTTTTGCTTGCTAATTGATTCAACTTGTAATTAAGTTGATAGGGGGAAAATGGTATCAATTTATTGAATATTCTTATTTCTGCTATTCATAAAGTTACACCCCCCCCTGGAAAAATGATCCAAAAAATTGTCTCCCACAAAATACTAATCCTTGTTTAGAAAATAAATCAATTTGTAAAAAGTAATTTATTTTGATTTGCTTTATATACTATTAAAAAACTAATTTAGTTAAATCTGTAAAGAAACAAGCCTGATTTATAATTTTTAACTTGAAATGTTTTCATTTAGTATTTGTTTATTAGCTGAATTTTTCAGAATGTATTTATAAAACCTAATCATATTGAAAGGTGCAGGCGTGTTAAAAAAAAAAAAAAAGCAGCTTAGCATTTGATTAACTAGAATTTTTCCTAGCTTATATTTTGTTTTAAAAATATTTTCAGCATTTTTGACACTATTACTATTAGCTGTCATGCAGTATCCAGTTATTTTAATCTCGTACTTTGTTTTAAAGATGCTTTTTCTTCAACTTTTGTCATTGATTACTATTGTGTGCATACTCTCTTATTTTTGAAGTTCAAATCAAATTTGACTATTTGTGATTATACAACATTAACTGAGTTTTTTGTAGACATTTTCAACTTTATTATTACAATTTTTGATATAGAAATAAAACTTAATGAAATTTAGGAAAAGTGACTTGATATTTTAAAATCCTTTTATTCTAGAAAGTTGTTATATCTATAAAGAACTTTTTTTGTATCTCACTATATAAAATTTGCAAGATTTTTATTTTTTTAATGATCATCATGGATGCTGGATGAATTTTTGTTTCCATTGCAGTGCCGTCATTCAGATGATGACACAGATGATGACTACACAGAGGATGGTGCTGATGAAACTGCATTAGAAAGTTACTTGACTCCATTGGATGATGAAAATTGTCCAATTGATGAATATATGGTATTCAAGGAAGTTCTATCAAGTAAGTCATTTCCTTATGCAATCATTTTTATCTTCACTGATTATATTTTTTTTCTTAAAGATTAAATTGGCTTTTGGAGTGAGAAATTTCAATGATTTGTAAATTTTCAAAAGGACATTTTCATTTAGTTTTTGGTTGACATGAAAATACGAAAGTTTTTTTTTTTTTTTTTTTTTTTTTTTTTTTGTTACTTGCATTAGACTTATCTGTTAAATTTTCTGTTTTATTTATAGATCTTCAAAGCAGTGATCCTAATTGGTATAGTGCCTTGACTGCAGGTCTGAATGCAGATCAAACTAAAGAATTGGAAGAAGTATTTCGATTGTCAGAACAGAGAAGAGCAGCAGCTGGTAAGTGTGTTTTTTTTTTTTTTTTTTTTTTTTTTTTTTTTTTTTTTTTTTATATCATGCAACAGATATTTTTTTCCATTTGTTCAAATTAAATTGCTTTTCTGCTTTATTATTGCAGATTATATATTATGCCCTTATCAAGCACTCTCAGCTTTTTAATAGGTTCACTTTGGTTTCATTCTACATTTAACATATACTTCAGTGGTACTAACAAGTTTGAAACTATTTTGTAGACTACACCTGAAGTGAATCATTTAATGCGTATTAGTTAATACTTTAATAATTCATGCTTGATTGTAAAGAAGTCAGTTACATAAGGTTCATTTTAAACCTTTTAAATTAGCAGGAACCACTTGCCATAATTTACTGTTTATTTGCTTAATTTATTTATTTTATTTTTTTTAATTTTTTTTTTTATTTTTATTTTTTTTGACATTAGATTGTCCAAATGCAAGCATTGAAGTTTTGTAAACTTATGAAAAAGAAAAAAATTTAATAAAAAAACTGCATTTTTCTTAGATGTATCACATCTGTTATTTCTTTTCATAAATTAAAGCTAGTCTTGACCATTCACTGAACTTTAAGATCATATTTAAAAAAAAAAAAAAAAAAATTAGCCAAAAGTTCTTGGAATCGTAAATTCTGTCCTGAGCTTACTATCCTATATGCTATTGATGTATTTGGACTATTGATTGAAGGAATTCAGCAAACACATTAATTTAGGTATATGCACGAGATCGCTAAAAAAAGCGTATAGTCTGATGAAAAAGACGTCAAACTTGACGAAAACAAAATTTTATCGCCAAAATGTCTATTTACTGAAGTAAGAGTAAAGAACAAAGTAATTTTTAATTATTTTTTAAAATTTTCTCTCTTTATTACAACATTCTAACTTTCGATTGAAAAACCTTGTTTCTCGTCATCACCGGAACTCTAGTAAATAACATGGCGAATTTTTTGTGCATTTTTTTCTTATGACACACATTAATTTTGAAAATCTTGAAAAAATAGAAATAATTGTCAGATTTTAATGAAACTTTCAGAAACTATTCAGAAATGATGGAAATTATTATAAATATGTTATTTTTTTTAAAAGTCATTATAAAAATATATTTTTTATACATATATTACCACCCCCATAAATGAATTAAAGAAAACTGTAAAAGTTTATGGACGAAGCAGGGAAGTCATTATATTAATAAAAACACAAGGCTTTGAGGAAAGTAAATCAGGTTCTTTTTTAAAATCCGAACTCATAAACCCGAAAATCAGCTCTGAATTGTAACATACAAAACCCAATAAAACAAAAATACTATTTAATTTTAAATGCTTTTAGTTGCTTTTATTTGTTTTTTATCAATATGCATAATATTGTCTGAAGGCAAAAAAACTTTTCAATGAAAAATGAATTTTTAAATGAATTAATTGTTATTTAATAAATTATTTTATTATTTTTACATAAAGTTAGTAAAAGTTGTTAAATATTCTAAAATTAGCGGTACTGACGAATCCTGTATATAATGCTATTTTTAGGTACCTATATCTGTACAGATTATAAATAGTACAAGGTTTTTACAATCAATGAAACAGCAATGAGAATAATCTTACTGTCCTTTAACCTATGTGTAGAAAAAAAAAATCTTAAATCAAATGTACGGAGGCCCGGAAGAAACATGATCCAATAAAAACATCACATGACTTGATTTGTACGGCACTGTTAACGGCCTTTATATTTATATAAAATTACTTTAAAAAATTTATAATAATTTCTAGCATGCCTGAAAGTTTCTTTAAAATCTGACAATTATTTCTATTTTTGCAAGATTTTCAAAATTAATGTGTCATAAGAAAAAAATGAACAAAAAATTTGCCATGTTATTTACTAAAGTTCCGTGATGACGAGAAACGAGATTTTTCAATCAAAAGTTAAAACGTTCTAATAAAGACAGAAAATTTTTAAAAATAATGAAAAATTACTTTGTTCTCCCCACTTAATAGTAACATAAACATTTTGGTAATAAAATTCTGATTTAAATCAAGTTTAAGGCTGTTTTTTCATGGTATGACTACTTAAAAATAACGAGGTAAATAAGTTGTTAACGTAAAAATAAATTGTCACTTACGACCTTCCGTACTATAAATTTCCGCACGTAATATGTCAGTGCGTGATGAAAAACACGCACTTGTCATTTGTCAATCAACACCGCAGTTCAGATCTGCTTTCTCCCATTTGAAAAAAAACATGTTTTCATCACAGAAAATAAGCAATCTTTGTTTCAAAATATACTAAATAAACTTTCTAATTTCTAATCTTTTTTAAATTAGTTAAAAAAAAATGATAATTGATTTTTTTAAATAAATTTTAAACGGCAACATTCACTTTTGTAAAGAAACGTCAAAAACAACGATTTTTCTGATTCAAAAAAATTGAAGATTTTTAACGAAAATTTTGGATGTGCTAGAAATTATTAAAAAATTTTAAAAAATATTCAAAAAATACTTTGATCATTCCTCTTGATAATAACATTAACATTTATACGATAAAAAATTATTTTAATCAAATTTAAGGCCTTTTTTATTCATGGTATGCTATTTTTTTATCGATCTCATGCACATACCTACATTAATTCTTTTAACATTTCACTTTGTACAAATAAAACGGTATACAATAACAAAACTACAAAATTTATTTAATGTATTTGATTTTTTTTTTCTTTTCTCCCCTTATAGAGTCAAAAAGAATTGAACAAAGTGGAGGATATGTTTTTGCAAATATCAATGTGCCATCGTCATTCAACTTTGGGCAGATGGGTCCATGAATATGAATCAAATGTGACTGGTGTGGCAAAAAGCAGCTATTTTTTTAGTAGCTGAATTCTGTCATTACCAGTGGATATGCACGTACGTATCTGACAGCAATGCTGATGCCAGATGGCAAAAAAAAAAAAAAATACTCCCCATTCCCCAAAAATTAAAGCACCCTTTTGCAAAATTAGAATCTTTTGCTACAAGCTGTAAGCTACCTGATTGGATTAGCTGCTGCTGCCGCTTTCTTTTCCAGGACCTAAAAAAAAAAAAAAAAAAAAATAATAATGTACTTGCACACATACTCACTTGTACAAATACAAAAAAAGAAAGACAAGAACAGTGGTATGAACCCTTCCTATTTTTTTTCTTTAACAATGAAGAGTTTGCTTATGAAATTTTTTGCTTTCTGGCAAAGGAAAAACAATAAAATGACAGACATTCATTGTACAATTTTGCACTTAGAAGCCCTTTTTTCTTTTAAATAATGGTTCATTTTTATTTTCAGTTTATTTCCTTTTTAAGACAAATGACAAATCATTGAAATGATTGGATGCTCTTTTGTGACTCTGTTCAGCATAGTTTAGTCAACTCTTGCACAGACAACAAATTGAAGCTTAATTTTAAGATGCATTATGCTGTTAAATGATATCAAGGGAATTGCTCATGAGTTGATACTTTTTCTTTCTTTCTTTTTTTTTTTTTTTTTTTTTTTTTTACTTAAATATTTTAAAATTTTCCTTCACTGTGTGGATAGATATATGCGCTAAATTAATGCATATTAAGTTATTAACTTGTATTAAATTCAGTAACTCAGTTTTGTTGATGTAAAGGTAAAACAAGTTTTGTAAGATAAATTACTATATTTTTATTGTGTGGTTTGGAAAGTAGTTCTTTGAAGTTCGGTTGAATTTGGGAAAAAAAAAAAAAATCACATGCAGTTATGAACATCATCAGCTTTGTAGGAAAGATTTTATTTCAAATGGAAAGCAAATTGTGGATCTTCAAGTATTTGAATTATACACAGACTTTGAAGTTGATGTTCCTGACATTTTGGCCACCATCTAGTAAAGACACCAACATAAATGCTTAATATAATTTCCAGCTGCTAGGTGTGTCTTTATTTTTGTGCCAGTGTAAAAGGACTATTTAAGTGTATAGTTTGAATAACCTTATTTAAAATAGTTTTGGAAATTATTGGTAGTAGTTTAGAGAATCAATAGCCTAAATAATCAAAAGAAAATGGAATTGATTTTATTTGATTTTTCTCTGTAGAGTCACTGAAGAATGCATGATGTTGCTGTTTGTCATCCCCTCCCTTTTTTCTGTTGTGTGGAAAATTGTCTTGACTGCTTAAAGTTTTACATTTGCCAAATGTTTTTTTTTTTTTTTCTTTTAAAAAAGAAAACCATCTTCTGGTTTCTAAGCTTTTCTTTCCATTTATTTTGCTTTCTAATTTTTCTTATCAATTAATCCTAGACCTTCTCAATGCTCATCATCCTTCACTTTTCTATTTTTAACAATAAAAAATGTTTTTGGTGGGGGATAGTAAAAAATCTTTCTGGCTTGTTAATCAATCTACTTAATATTTGTTCCTGTTTCAACAATTAGAGTAACCAATTATTAACAATAATAAAATAAAACCCATTCACTCATTGTTACCCCTCTAGGAGATATAGCCTGTAAACGTTTCTTATATATATATATATATATATATATATATATATATATATATATATATATATATATTGACTGCAATGCTTCCTTTGTGTGCATGTTACATTTAATCTTTGACCCATTTTCTATTTATTTTTGTTCAATGCTAAATTATTGCTCTCATCTCATTTTCAATGGATAAATATTCTAGCTCTTCTCCTTGGTTGTTCTCAGCTTTTAAAACCCACTAAACTATATTCGTCTTTTTTTTTTTTTTTAAACAATTTAAGTTTATTTGGTGTGACTATTAGAGTACTATACATTTCAAACTGATCCCCATTCTCATTGAAGAGATCTCTTTATGGCTTGGTTCTATGTTATAACCTGTGGTAGTAACAAAAATAACAAATGGATTTTTTCTTGCATAGGCTTTGCCAGTGAGAGACTCAGAAAGACCCAGAGACAATCACTAATGACATTTTTTTTTTGTACAATATTAATCCTCAAGTAAGCTAAATATTTCTATTAACCTTGACAGTATTTTTTCTGCTTTTCATATCTAAAAATTATACTTTAAATTTTTCTTCAATCAGCTTGTTCTTTTGGAAAAATACTTACCATTATAGTTGTCTTTATATTTTTTTGTTTTGAAAAGCAATCTTTGAAAATTAGAAATTCTTTATGAATTTCTGATTGATAAATTCCCCAAAATGATCTAAAGGAAATAAGTTATAGAATCTAAAGTTTTTCTCACCTTGCCTCCCTTAAATGGAGAAGTTCATTTTTTTTCTATTTTTTTTTTTTTTTTTTTTTTCTGTTAGTTTCAAACTTAATGCATTCAACTTAAGTTTCTGCAAATATGCATTAACATTAGAGTAGCAGATCTTTTATTTTTGTGATGCTTAAATGGAAATTATGGGATTCATTTCTTAAGAACTCCCCATAAACATCAAATTTGTGTATGTGTGAAAAGCAATTCCTCTTACATTGTGTATGTGTTGTATGCTTGCAAAATTACTTATTACTGAAACTAGTTTTGAGGTTCTATTGGCTTCTGAGTTTTGTAAAAGGATTGGATTTGTATTTTATACAAACTTAATTTTGGTATTAAATATGACATACTAATTGTTTAAACAAAAATGGTTATTTAATCTAACTTAGATTTGTTAAATGTTTTGGAAATATTCACTGAAAATAGATTTTATATGAAGCTAACTGATAATTAGGAAAAATGTCTTAATTGTGTGAGGTGGGTTGAATATAAAATAGGTATGCACTAATTTCTGAATGAAAAGCTATTTTGAAGTTATTGTTTTGCCTTTGAAATATGCTTTGTTTTTCTGCATTCATTAGCATTTTAAAAACTAAATTCTCAGTCAATATTATATAACTATTTTTGTTAATATTTTTATACAGTTGCTCTAATTTTTCTTGTTACCAAAGCTTCTAGCTGCTTTTGTTGGTACTTGTTTGTGGTGCTTATGTTGCAGAACTAAGCCATGCTTCCCAGAGGTTATATATTAATAACATTGAAAAATATTATTTCCAACTCTTAATTGGTTAAGATTTATGTAATTAGTGATGTGATTTTTGAAAAAAAAAAAATTTTGAAGACCTTTGTGACCTTGGTCTTGTACATTTTCCACTCATGCTGTTGGTATATTACAGTTGTTTTCTGTCCCAACTATTGTTACCTTTTTGGCAAGTGTTATCTATAGAGACCAAGCGTCATTGTTTTCAAATGATATGTTAACTGGATGAAAGCAATTTGAGATTTGTGGAGTTCAGTAATCTTAAACATTGACTTGAAAGGTTTCTAACTTATTTCAGTATGTAAACTTATTTTGAATAAGAAGTATTGAAAAACTTTCATCTCTGCAACTTTTCTAAATATTTACCAAATTAATTTTACTAGTAACCTTTTATATATAGAATATCCTTAAGACTTACTGAAATATAAAAAACAAAACTATAACCTGACACCTAACAATTTGATGTGAAATAGGTAATGCATTTCTTTTAAGATGTTGGGTCTTTCACTAACCATATTTGTCAAATAGTTGGCTCCAGTTTCATCATTGGTAGCGTTACTGGGATTCTGGGTATGGTCTTTCATTTGAGATTGTTATTCTGGTCAGTTTTTGTGTATTTTTAAACCAGGAATTTTTCAGAGGTAAATATTGTTTATTAGATAACTTAATAATTTTTCCAAAAGGATTGATTGTGTGCTCAACAGTGTTGATGATATTTCCGTCCTTGATGTAAAATACAGAACAAATAAAGATTATATCGGAGACATTTTATTCAGTAACAAATATTGTAACAGTAATGAAAATAATTAATGCAAAGAAATAACAAGGAAGCTTTAAATTTTGTTCATCTGGAAAGACAAATGAGATTGACTCCTTGTCTTACTTCTGACTTCAATAATTCATCATGTATGTCTGGAGCCTTAAAATTTGATGGTATCATTCTTATCTCTAGTTCTTTATAGTACATGTACTGTATTTTGGATATGTCCCTGTGATGAGTTGAAAATGTCGCCTGAATGGTATCCAAACTTAAAAGGAGAGCCTTTACTTGCCGTTGTCTGGAATTAACTTTATTTAGACAGCACTGATAATGAAACCAACCTTGCAGCCTCCAATCTAATGGCCAAAGTTGAAACATTATATATTTTGGCTCATTTCCACAAGTGGCTCTTTGTAGTACAGTAATATAAATGAGATTAAGTTGTTGAAATGAGTATGGCCACTGAATTTAAATTATGTAAAATAAACTTTGAGCTCAAACTTTCTGTAAAAGTACATTGATGATTCTTGATTTTGAAGTTCAGTGGTAATTATTTTTTGTTAGTTGATTCAAATCTATAGCTATTTTCTATCTGAAACCTGGTTTCTTGCGCAGTTTGGGCAGCAATGTGTTTTGAAATGTAATTTAATTTCTGGTTATACATATATATCTATATATATATATCTATTTATTTTCTTAGCTGTCTTCAGAGTAAACATGTCTTCAATGTTCTGGTTTTAAAAAAAGCGCATAAGTTCTCCACTTTGAAAGTACTTGTTTTACTTCATTTTTCAAGAATGATTTTGACTGGAAATAATTTTTTTCTTCTTGCCAGAAATTTTTAAAAGTATAAGTTAAAAAAAAAAAAAGAAAACTAGTCATAATGTAACAGGTTTCTGTACAGTGTTTTCAAATGTGCCTTTCACATGAAACTTGTTTCTTCCTTTTTTTTTTTTTTTTTTTTTTTTGTTTTCCTTCCTCTTATTTATTATTGGTAATAATTTTCCCCTTTTCCATAATGCTCTTGTGTAGACATATTGCTATCAGGAATGTCTTTCCTATAGTT